TCCGAGGTGGATGGAGAGTGCGCCTAATTTATCTCTCGTGATTAGCTGCACGGTGTAGTCACAGCTGGCTATGGGGGACGGAGTCTGAGGTGTGTGGATGGATGACGATAACACGCACGAGATATGATTGCAACAGATGTCCGACTGTAACCGCATCATTTACCCATGTAGAATTGGGATGGAGCGAAATAGCAACTTCCACTTGCAAATGGCAAATGCCATATGAACGCACGGATTTGTTTGCGTCATGCGGAGCCACTCATCCCTGTGCAGACGTCACAACCCGACGATTAAATGTGATTCGCCGGAGCGAGTACATTTTATTTGCAGCTTCAAAGCTTCCTCTCACCGCAACCCTGTGGTGTGTTCGAATACAGGCCACAACTGACAAATACCCATCGGGAACTATTTCTCTAGCGAGCGTGATAAACGTTAGTTGTGCTTGTCCTACATGCTCTGCGTTTCCGCATACAGCGTCCAATCGCCTGCGTTAGTGTAACGGGTTAAGCAATCCCGCAAATGGCCACACACAATATCCATGTACGTCAAATCTGCATAGTTCAATTTTCGTATTTATTATCCCTTATGAAAGTCGTTATCCACTGGCTCTCCAAACACAATGAACTACAGGCGGTAGAACATAATTGCTTGTTACACAACCCTGTTAGAGTGGCATCTGTTTGTCGAGCTCCCACATGATTGTTCTACAACGCGGCAATTAAAATGGGTGTGCGACGCGACCACACGCACCAACTTACCGGAAATCCACGATGTTCCCCGATTAGAGAACTGGCTATTTCTAGCCGAGTATAAAGTGCACTGATCCGTCATCATAATAATGTAAGAACAACACTCGCTTAGAACAGGTAGTTTACTGCCAACAGAATGTCTTACAGATCGACCAAGTGAACCACACTTCCATCCTTCTTACTGACATGTTGAACCATTTGTTGGCAGTGCTGCTGCGTCACTAAGGCCCGTGCTTCAGACACCGCGTGCTCCAAAAAGCGAATCCGCCACTCGCTTTTATTCATAATGCCTTCAGGATCCCCCAGGAGCATCTCGGAGTACCGTCCCCTCATTGCCTGTTTTACATGAGCCTTTATTATGCTCCAGATGCCCTCGATGGGATTGAGAGCTGGTGAGTATGGCGCAAGGCGTAGAAGTCTCCCAGAGCGGTACGGTTCCTCCAGGAAAACGTGCTCCAGGTGCGTGTGACAGGGCGCGTTGTCACAAATCAAAAGACACCTTTCCACAAACCCTGCTCCGTTGGTATCAAGCACTTGTCGCAGCCACTGAGCGCACCTTTGCTTGTTGTAACTTCCTCTCAGAACCGAACACGCTATCAAGCCGTTGTTTGTCATGGCGCCGACAAGATGAACATTCGGTCCCCGGCTGTTCGCCACTGTACACTGCGCTCGACTACCACGTCGTGAACGGCCACGAGTGCGGGAGCAAAATAAGTTGAAGTTGGTCTCATCAATCCACACCGGTTGCCTTCCTTCCACCTCGTAATCCATGAGCTGCAAAACGAATGACCTGCGTCGCTTTTTATTCTCCAGCGTGTTCATGGACTCCGGAATGGTGTGCAATTTCTTCACTGTTATAAGTCTACCGTCCAAGTATCGTGAGACGGTGCTGGTACTTACTGAAAGTTTGAACTCCGCCTTCAACTGCAAACGAAGGAGTTCAAGGGTAACGGTAGGCTCCGCAGAAACCCACTCCAGCAGAGAGTCGACGTGGCTTTCTCCCAGTGCTCTGCGACGGACTTCCCCGTGCTGGCCCACCGGTTCCGTCGATTCGTACGCCCGTATCCAGTTGCGGCAAGTTTTCACGTTCACCTTCAGTATGCAAGCGACCTGCTTCCAATCGTCGCCTTCCTCGTACGCTTTCAGTACGACGTTCTTCACCTCCCTCGAGTGCCGAACATACAAGCCAACCTTTCCGTTTAGGTGAACTGCACATTCAACAGCATACGGCAAACTTATTTGGCTGTGGCTCATTATAACAACCAATCATCATTCAAATCCTTACTCTCGTTCTACTTGGTGGGAATCGCTTCCTAGGACAGGGAAACAAAGGCCAACCTGGTGCGTGGGCTAGCGACACTGTCCGTGGTAGGAGCTAAAGCGTCCAACCTGCAACCCCTGACTTAGTGCATCTGAGGTCCAATTGGCTGAAGGCGACAGGCTATAAGAGCACACCTACACTCCTGCACAAGTAGGTGGCATACGCACGGCTCAAATTAATTGAGTAAACTTATGTTGTATGCCCCTCAGCGCAACTCCTTGGCCGTTCAGATTAATTCTGTTACCCAAGAGGACAAATTGGCCGTGAAATGGTATATACTACGAGCACAAGCCTCGGAACCGAGTGCTATTACTACCCACCTGGTTCCTATTACATTGGCACCAAACGTGCCGCTAATCCAGCTAATTGTCAGAAACGCTTACATCCTGAATGAGCGCAGAAAACGCGATAACATCTGTGCTTTGTAGTGATCAGAAAGCAGTATGAGTAAAGGTTCAACGTTGTTCACTAAATACGTGCCTTGGACGCGCATGTCCCATGTAGTGTATTCTAACACAAAGTCGTGTTCATCGGCTACGATATAATAGAGTGTGGAGGTACAGCCTACTTTCAGGTAATTAGATGAGTTTTTATCTGAACAAGTTTTTTCCTTCTCAGCGTTTATTTTACTGGGCTTGCATCCATTTCGACGCTACACTAAAGTGAAAAGGGGAGTTTCGATTGTGGAGAATAGCTTAGTGGGGCACTGCATTTTGCACAATACCGCTAATTGCGGGGGACTCGACGGCTCTCTTTCGACAACGTATCGATGAAATTAGGGAAATGTGATCAAAACCAAGTGCAGATACTATATGATGGGGTACTGTTTGTTGACTTGTACTCGGAATTGCGGGAATCTCATCCTGACTACCTGCGCGAGAAATTGTTGTACTAGGCTGTCGTTTCCCTTCGTATGCGGGGCATGTTGTTGGGGTAGTGGCATCTGTGAAATCCGGTGAAGGTGAACGGCCGATAGCTAAATATCGAAGGAAAAATTTTCTTTCTTATCGGTAGTACAACTAGGCACTGCCATCATGGGCACAGATACCGTTTGTGAAGCGTTGACACAAATTGTACAACGGGCTCCTGATTGCACACGCAGACACTTTCGATGGTAAAGTAGCCGATTGTGTGCACAGCGAACTGCGTCCACCGCAACAGGCTTGCTGCATGTGAAACACAAATCTGTGGGCGCCATAGTTTCGGCCAACGCGGTTGTTTCTTTGTACGTTGGAAGTCGGATGAATCACCAATTACTTCGTTGGTCTCTCACAGAAGCTTTTGGTACAGTTCCGAAAATCCGGATGGATTAACCTCTTCAGTACTTCTCAGCCGATCGACAAGATGTGCGATTTTAGACGTGGTTGGTTTCGTAACGGGAACTTTTAACGTCCGCAACTGCATGGACTCTGCCGGTAGGTTGTAGTCCGCGAGCGAGGGGATGCACATAGGAATTTGACCTGTAAATGGCTGCACACATCAGAAACGGCTTACTTGTCGGGTACGCGTGCTGCTTGTATGCCGTCATTAAATGCACACACGGCAGCCACATGGTTTTATAAAAAGGACAGGTAAATGTTCCCAAGGAGCAATCGATGGTGAAACGGTTTCCCTGGTGAGATATCTCAAACAATGGAGGCGTCAGCAATTTTTATTCACCTACCATTCCATCTCCAAGGTCCGAGTAAACTGGTTGTAACATGGGTTGTGCTAAATGGCTCATCATTAGGTTGCATGCATACGTAGTTAAGAGGCCAACTACGCGATGAACGTATGCGCTGCCTTCTAGTAGCTGACGCCTGTCACAGAAAAGTGCGGCGTGCATCTGGGACGTTCAGGGCAACTTCCGAACGGCTGCAACAAGACCATCGGATGCGTGGGTAACTTTCTTCAACCGCAACTTGGCATACTCATGTTGATTGTTCGTTGTATTTCCAAAGTACACCAGTCCAGCTTGGGTGTGTTTTGTCCACGAACGTGTTATGTACAACCAGTGCGACGTAAAGTAGCGCACAGGCCGGGGGTCTGTTCGTTGAAGGAGGTTTGGCAAGAATATTACATATAGCAAGAGATTGTACTCAGTCTCCGTGTTCGAGGTTGCCATGCGATGGAATAGCTAAAGCGACCGGTTACTGTTTGTCTACAGAATGTAACGAAGCTTTATCACTTGCATGCTTCCTGGTGGCCTGGCGGATGTGGAAGTAACCCAACAAAATGTCGCATTGAAAAACCGCGCGCGCCGCACGTATTTGAGCGGCCATTTTGTCCATCCTTATTGTGCTGACGGGAACATCATGACCCATGATATCCCGAAACGCTCCGAACAACGTAAGCAAAGATGCATACTCTTCCCGACGCAGAACCGCATAAAATATTGGCCGGCCGTAACCCATCCCGTCACTTGTTAACAATTGGTGTAGTTTGAAGCTTCAAGCGACAGCTAGTGCCACTATCAATTCTTTCTTCAAACGCTTAGTGCCATGAGTGTCGTCCACACAAACGACATGCGAGAATCTGCGGAACAGTTCTATTTGTTGATGCCGAGCGGGTAATACGTGTGTGCTTAGGCTTTTCTCTGAAATAATTCGCGCAACTCCGTCTTCCTGCATAGACTTGATAACCGGATGCAATTTTACTTCAGGTAGTGAAAAACGTCAACATATCCTTTCACTTAACGTCAGGTCTCAGTTTACGACGAACATTGCGGACGTCATCGCTGGTACTATGCTTTCCGAATCGAACCTCTACGAACTGCTTGATGTCGCTTGTTGTTGTTGTGTTGTAACGGAAATGGTCCATGGACTGACTGAGCTTATGGTTCGTCAGAGGTATACTATATGCGAAATTACCGGGCAACAAATTGAAGCACTCGGGAAAGTGTTACAAATATATATATATATATATATATATAATATTATGAAAGGAAATATTTACATGGTTGTTGGTGGTTCCTGGATGCATTGACCGTCCAAATCTATAACTTCCAAAGCCTGTAAAGGAAGTTGTTAGGTACGGCATTAATAGTACACAGTACCTGGGAATCTAGACTGCTAGATGTTGCAGATGTACGTCGGTGCAGGTTGCTCCGGGTAATTTGTAGCCATTTGCAAACACAGTTCGCAACGGCGTTGCCCGTGCACCCGAACTGGTTAATGGTGATTTCTGCGAAAGAAGGTAATGCGGAAAAGGTTATCTGAGTTACCTTGAAGCGCACTAAATGTATGCGTCTTCTTGAAAGGTATTGCGTTGTTTGTACCGGCAAAGTTCAACTGACGCAAAACATATCTATTCATCACCCTGTCCAGCATGTACCGAACGGCCTCGGATACCGTGCCGGCGGGTGTTGACTGCATGTGAGTAGTCTAAATCATGAATGCATATTGCGCGAACGTGACTTACCAGTTCTGGCCGGAGTTCGGGGTCCACTAAGTTGCCCTCCAACTCCAGGAATTCCTCAATGTTGGAGGTTGGTAGGGTTAACTCCGTGGCTTGCATTGGCCTTGCATTCCACATCGCTTGGCTCATTGACGCGTGGCTCTCCTTCAAAACTTGAAGTGTCTCCTCCACGCGCCTAAGAGAATCTGATAATTGTTTGCGTAATGCGCATGACAGGGGGCACGTACCAAGTACGCTGCTTAGCATATTGCGGTCTTGCTCCCGCATGCGAAGTTCATCTGCGTAGAAGTTGTTGCAAGTAAGAAGCTCAACCATACCTGCTACAGCGTGCAATGTGTGCATAACCCTGTTGTCCGTTTCATGACACCTGCCTGCCAGGGCATGTACCTAAAGTGAGGAATCTTAAGACTTACAGCATGTGATAGGCTCAGTTTGAACGGCAACTTGATTAGACGGACCTGCTGCGGAACACGGACATCACAGTAACCTTTTCATACATAATAAGAACTTACGCATGTCGGCATTTTCCTCGACAGCATCATGCTTATGAGTAGGCGGGGAAGCACGCGCCAACTACTCCAAGGAGAAATCGGGGTACTTCCCATAGCTTGCAGCTGCGGGAACATTGGTGCGTCGTTTCTTTGTGGGGGGATTATCATCCACGGAGTCCCGTAGTCTAGCTGGCAGGCGTCTGCAATGCATTGCGTTATCACTTGTGTAGCGCATTACATAACTCGTTTCGGCGATGTTTGCATGGGGATGGTGCAATCGGTATCCGTAGCAAAAGGTTGATCCGCGAACGACCTGTCCACGCGGCGGGCATCATCGAAATGCACTGCAATTGATTAAATGAATGCGCTTACCTGTACGATGAAGCACGGTCACGGGGAACATTTTGCAATCCGAAATGAGGTATCTGTGCTCCCTCACCGCCTGATGGTATTCGAAGAGGGGAAGGTTGGGCAAAATACCATGCTGCCCGTCTTCCAACAGCCACCTGCTGCTTATTGTGCCCACTTGGGGTACCTCGTTGTGCGTGTAACTGACCACGCAGAAATCCCAAAGCGGCATATCTATAGAAGCAATGACATGCGTGCTTACCGCGTGCATTCCACTCCTGGATGCCCCCGCACTGGCACGAAACGGGGCAACACAGCCAACCACATGCTACAGATAGAACACACCGAAGTAATCTAAGGAAAAGGTTTATTTAACGGTGGAACAGTTACCTAATGCTGAAAATAAGGCACCAGAGGAGAGCTAGCTAAGGGATATGTATCTGCGGTTGGAGTGCGTGCATGCATGTAGCTGCCAGTGTGGGTCGCGGTAGGCAAGGATGCATGTGGTATTGGTGCCTTAAACAAAGGGGCTCAAACAGCTTGGACAAGCGAACCGCCTAATACCCTATTACATGAAAAACTACACTTTTGAACGGGTTTACATTAATTTACGCAATCACACCGGGGGAAATTTCCAGGTCACTACACACGCCCCTCTAGGAAGAGAAGCGGTGGGTGACCCTTAGATCTACGTGAGGACTGTCCGTCGCGGGCCAGCCTTCTGCAAGACCAGGTGGTGAAACCTGATGCAGCTGCTGGGGGAGAACCAGGCGATTGGACCCTAGCGGGCTCCCACTCGTGTCCTCCCTAATGGTGCCAAAAACACAAAATGAAGCAAGTTCGTGGGCGTCCAAGGTTCCTCAGATCCTAAATGTCCCAAGTTCTCCTACGGTTCATCTTGCCCTGTTCGTAAGTGCAAGGGAAATTAGTGCAGTGACATTTGATAACAAGGACATCATCACAACATATGATCTGGCTGGTGCGTCACAAATGATACCAGAGATACGGACGGCGTTTGGTGTAGGTCGACCGGGCAATAGCACGCCTGTGCGAAGTAACCTTTTCAATTCAGTTACAAGTGGAGCCAAGAAGTGATGTACATTCCACGGTTTACGTGGCCCCGAGTACACCCCAACCACAAAGGGATCGGATACCAAGGGCGCCACCGACCTACACAAAATGGGCCACACTTGCACACCGGAGGAATTAAATGGTGAGAACCCATCCACGTGCAACTGCAGGTGAATGCTCTGGGACGCCGCCACACTTCGCACCGGTAAGCCATCTTTAGCCCGTAAATTATCCCCATGTGACCATACCTACCAGGATGTACCTCGATCTCGTTCGTGGTTCTGGGAGTTCTCATTAACGTCCGGTAATCCTTCGGTAAAGACGGTATAAACTTACGCAGTCCTTCAAGAAGCTTGTTAACAGGGGAAGCAGAAGTGTTGGTATTAAGCACCCATGCTGCCAGGAAATTCCGTGTCTCATCACACAGGTTCGGTGATGTAGTCATATCTAGAGACGTGCATTCATGCTCCCCTGATTGGCAGCTCATGGATTCCACCTCCTCACTCTCCGTTTCCGTCCGTGAGGACTGCAGTGAAAGTACGTCGGTGAATTCGCGTGCAGAGCCGTTGTGGACAGGATCTGACGGGTTACTCCGTTGCATGATGCAGCGGTCTACAATCACACTAAAAAGATGCTTGGAAACCTTACCTCCTATAATTACATCCATGTTACTAGTACGGCTATAATCGCGCACACGGAATGCTTCACGCTCAGCTAGTCTACGCAAAATGAGCAATCGCATTCTCAATGTGCGTGCAGAAGGTAACGCAAATGAACAACGACGCCTTGTTAAACGACTGCGCATCTCTAAGACATGAAACATTAACTTAATAAACGCTTACGTAATGCTTGTTGGACACAAAGACCTAGGTGAGGAAAACAACGGACGTACCGACACGGAAAGCAACAAGGGAACCGGGGAGCAATCAAATGACTGCGCACTTCCATTTCCGATACAAAAATGTATGCAAACAAACACGCAGGCTTACCTTAAATGCAAACAATTCCGCAATATACTTTTCTTTATAATCCTTTTAGGCAATTATACGTAACTTTTGATTGTTCAACAAACAACTTCATTTGTATTATTTTTGGACCAATCACATATGTACATAGGAAGTCGAGGGACTGCCTTTGTATTGGTTCGTAAATGACGAAGCTAAACTAAGGCTATCCTTCGTAAAGGTTCGTCAGTGACGAAGCAAAACGAAGACCAAACTTCGTAAAGTTTCGTCAGCGCTTCGCCATTGACGAAGCAAAACGAGGTTTTTGCTCAGTCTGACGGAGATTTTTCTTCGTCGCGTGCTAGCAGGGCTGTATTTGGTGCTAGTTTAGCGGGCGGTAATGGCAGACTCAATTTTAGGTCATTTACAAGAAATTTTCATGCAGTACAAGATGCTGTGCTATTGCGGTAGCATCAGGCGATGTAAAAAACGACATGAGCATGCAGGGAGAATCCGAAATTTAGATAATCTGAAGTACTAGAGGTTGCGGGCTCCACAGAAGGTGTCACAGCAATGCTACTGTATGCCATAGAGCTGACTGACTGCTCATATAATCTGGGGGCCCGTAAGTATTAGATGGTCCCCACTCCACTTAATATTTCAAAGGGAATATATTTGTTTATTTATTTATATGCAATATAGCTAAATGACTGCTAATGTAAGCTGGTGGCCGGTACTTATCAGACGATCCCAACTCTATTTAAGATGTTACGGCGATGCTAACGTATGCAATGGAGGTCACTGACTACTCACATGAGCTGGCCGATCTTAAGTGTTCGAGGTTCCTGGCGCCACGAAAGGTGTCACCGCAATGTTTGCATATGCAACAGAACTGACTGACTACTCTACTAAGCTGGCGGCCGGTACGTATTAGGTGTTCTCGACTCCGCTGACGGCGTGAAAGGGATGCTACCATAGGCAATGGGGCTAACGGACTACTCAGATAAGCTGGACGCCGGTAATTATTACATGTTGCCCGCTCCACAGAATGTGTCACAGCCGTGCAACCACATGCAGTAGTGGTAAATAACCACTCAAGTAAGCTGGCCACTGGCAAACGAAAGCTGTTTCCGGCTCCACAGAATTTGCCATAGCAATACAGTGTTCATGTAATACCATGATGAGAGTGAATGTTACACGAGGGAAGTGTAATGTGCGTACGTTGAAAGCTGCAAGTTTGAACAGCGTTCCGGGTTGCAGGAGCGAAGATGGGCGACTTTGGGACCGGCAACTCTCTGTTGAGTACTGTGTGGTTGAGTTGACAGATGTCACGGGAAGAGGTTCATCAGCGTAGGTGGGGTTGATCGCTCTAGAGGAATCAGGTAAAAATGGGTGTGAATGGTACACGGGAAGGGTAGGTAAAATGGTGGCGTGTGCTTGTGCAGTTGGCATGGTAACATGAGTGAATAGCGTGGTAGCAACAAGACAGCGGGTGAATGGTTGTGGTTGTAAGTCCATGGTTCGTCAGTGGGCGAGATACTACCCGGTTGCCCAGGCCGAAGTAGAGGGTTGTCTTAGGGTGCCCCACCCCGAGCCTTTGATCTAGGATCTAACCTACAAGGCAGCAGGGTGATATGAGGGTATCGCAACTCGTTGGGAGCCGGTGACCAAACGAGTGGTTCATACGCTTTTAAGACCGCATAGTACCAGGGGCCCGACGCATGCCGCTGCAGCACCAGAGGGTGGCCCTAAAAAGGGCCGGTTTGTCGTTCTCAGTGGCATGCATGAAGGGAAATTGGGTTAGAAAAGGTGAACTCACATGCAAAAGATGCACGTATAGTGCTCCTGGTCTCCGTTGTACGCGGCACATACCTGATGAAGCCATCGGTTGCATTTGCAGCACATAACCCAGTGGACAATGTCTCCGCTGCTTCTTGGTCCATCCTCCGTATCGCAAATGATGCACGCGTTTTCGTTCTTGTTTGCAGCCTGTATGTGTCCTGTTCTGGCCCGTTTATTCACGGTTTTGTACACTGCGGTGGTGACAGTCGGGATGCGTCGGAAGTACAGGGAATGGGTTTCGGTCGACAGCTGGGGGCTTCCATCACCCTAGGCGAAAGCGACTGCTTCCTTTTTGTTGCCTTGGGCCGGTGACGATGTGTTATGGCGTCCGCCTGGTCGACGTTGTTCGGAAGGCAATTTCCAATTGACACCAATCTCTGCCTACGAAGCAAGGTATTCAGGCTGCTTCGGTAGAAATGCTTCGCCTCAAGGAAAGGCATTGTACCCAGGCTGGTCAGAGCAACGGTTATATCACCGAACAGCCGGTTGGCACGGGATAACTTCTCCTCACGCGTCAACACCACCTGCGGGGAAGCAGATGCGGAGTGTATCGGTACAAGTTCCGCAGAGAAGGTTTCCCCATCAGGGATGGGAATCTGTTGGTCCCGCTTTGACCAACTGCTTGTGTGCATAACGGAGGTTACGTCTGCCGTTAACATGCCAGCAACTCGCACAATGTGTGCGCATGGCATATCCCATTGACTAAGGAACCTGCAATCGCAGGTCATCTCATTACCCATAACAACGGTGTGCTTTCGGTCGCCCTTACCTAATACTTCATACCCAGTGCCGTTAGGTCGTATTGATGTGACCGTCTCCGAAGAAATGTGCCGCATAAATATGGCAGCAGCATAAGCAGAAAGGCAAGCAACCAACTCCTTCACCTTCCAAGTCCCCGGAATGGCGTGTGATTTCGACATCCGCAGCTTGGCTACTGACGTGGTCCAACGGGATTCCGCATCGCGTGCTCTCTGTACAACTGCCTCAAAAAGTTGCACAAGCGATGTCCTTTCGCTTAATCCACACTTGAGGTGCTTATTCTCGTTCTCCACTCTGTTTGTGGTGAACGCACCCGACGTGCGCACTTTGCGCAAACTGTGGTACGCCAAGCTTCCTGCAAAGGGCAACCATGTCCGACTGAAGTACGTGAACGCCTCTTTGCTTCTAACCCTTATAGCTCTAAGCAGTATCTTAAATTGCAACTCCGTCTTTGTGTACACTAATCTGTGCATCCAATGCTTCAGCAAAACTCTGTCCGCCTTCTTCACTTTCGACAGAGATTGGCATTTGCGTGAAACGTCCCGCAGGAAATGGAACCGGCATAATACTACCATGGTCCGTGGATATACCGACTTAAATCCCTTCATTTGTCCCAGGCACCTATCCATGACTGTAGTCTTCGCTGACAAAGTGGTGGGCACCATTTCTGACATTCACCGAGCAACCTCCAGGTAACTGCATGTCGTCTCGTTGGGCATTAAAGCATAAAACACGCTGCGACCTACACCGAAACCGTCAATCACCATGCGGTGCCAAAGAACGTAATCACCGCAGTTCACCTGATGCGTGGCATCTGCAAGAAGCACGTCCTCGTATTTCGCCACTATGGAAGTCATTGATGCAGGAACGAATAAGGGCGTTTTTGCGAATTAAAGGGGCTAAGGGATAAAAGTCTAAAGGTGCGAAATTAGAAGTTACAATAATGCGTTTAGAAAGAAAATCTACAGTATAACCTTTACAATTTACCTTATGGGGAAATTTATCAAAAAGGTATAACATTTCTTGTATAGGCCACTGTCCATCGTAATCATCAATGATGACTAGTTCTTGGCCTTCGCAACCATCCCACCATTGTGTGGGATTTTCCCAATAATAGGTGTTCACAAGGTCGCATTGCGTCAAGGCGTATGTAAATTTTCCCTTTCCGGGTTCGCCCCAATGCCACTCGACGAACGTCTTCTCTCGCCGGTCGTTTCTCGGGCCATGGAGACTGATAAGTCTCCTCGCGTTGCAATAATGACGTAAGAACAGTTTAGGATAGTTATAGGATAGGGTGTATATATTGTCTCCCTTTCTGACGTCTGTAAGGAAACGTCGTTCTTCGGTCTCTCTGGGCTGTCGAACCGAGGCCGCTTCGGTGATGTTGGTCCACGGTCCTCGAGTTCTTGTGTACGGTTTGCGGCAATACTGTTCTGCCGCAATAGGATTGGTCGCTCGCTCGTAATGGGCTCCTGGAAGGAGCTGGTGCAGAGTGGATGGCCGCACCGCATTGGGGAATCGTACGAAGAGTTGAAAATGTCTAGTGTTGAGGTTGCCGGTCTCTTCTTGGAAAGTATATTGCACGTTGGCTCTTTCCAGGATTGCTCGAAATTCTCCATCATCGATAGGTGGGTTGTTCCATGTTATCAGCCAGCAACGTGCGCGTTCAGCCATCTACTGAGTTTTGCGGCGCACGCATGTGACTTGTTAGGTGAGACATGCGTGACTCAGACAAGGTTGTCTGAGTTTCATGTGATTGGTTCTTTGTTTATCAGGTTTGAACCTGATATTGGACATAGGTGAAAAAGAGCCACCTAGTCATGTGTGTACACGTGAGGGTCCCCCGATGTCTGGGAGAACGCACATGAGCTACATGGCGCTTTCTATAGACAGAGACGTATTGTATGAGAGCATGGCGCAATAAATAGGTTGTGGACAACTACTAATTTGATAATATTGGCGATGCTAATTGATGTTAATTAATACAACTCAAATGGCTCAAGTTCATGACCCAACTTGCCGCTGATTCCACATCGATTCGCATTTTGATCTGTACTCGAGTTCGATCTCTAGATGTAGATCGATCCGCTTCTACGCCACTGCTCTCGGCTTGACCGCTGACTGTAAGCTTTCTCTTCGGATCAAGTGCACTACCATTTTCAGTTCCCCTAAATCAATATACTTTTACTAAACTCTTATCAAGCCTTAACAACGTATTTCATAACATTCCTCCCCAGGAGCCAGTACCGCCCCCAAATTACGGTCAGCTGTTTCCGATTAATCCGACGATCTCTAAATGAGAAAGACGATGAGTTACTATCTGGTGGGTAAAAATCACGCAATTTCATTGTTCCTTCATTGGAATACGAAGCAATAAGCTGGTATTTCTCTGGCGACGCGGAGTAGCTTATTGACAGTCAAAATGATTGTCGATTCATTGAAGCATATCGGTAGGATCCTTTTCGCATGGAGAAGAAAATTTTGCTCGCTATTCTGGAAATTTCTGTGGCCGTATTATGATACCTAGAACGGTAATAGAGAGGGTGACAGGTAACAGTAAAATGTCAAGTAATGAAAGTAGTACACCAACTGTTTAGCCACAGATAGATATACCGATTCACGAAGAAGTGAAGGAGCTGTCACAGGGCCTCTCTTCTGCTCTCTACTACTCAGTGAACTCAGGGATTAATTGCACTAACAGTTAGAAAATTAACCGTCGTTGTGATCCGAATACATAATGCGTTTTCTCGAAGAAATGCGGTGCGCTATCTGCCATCGATGACAGTGGCTGCTGCATCCTTTCGGCGCGTATAGTATAAACGTTGTATATGTCCATATTGTAGCCTCCTTCGTTGTTTGTTGTTACATAATGTTTGTGTCAGCGGTCGCTTTTTCGATGGTTTCCAGCGGTGGGGGAACAACTGAACGCATAGATCGTTAAGCGCCTCAGTAAAACGTAGCCTCGAGCCGTCGGAAGTGTATCCGGATGCTAATTCTCTGAGTAACATGTGTTTCCTCTTATTAAGGGAGGAACAGTTGGCAACTAGTTTGTTTGCCGCCGCGAGTAGGTTCCGACAAGTTGCGTCGGCAGAGGATCTGTCGCAGGGAGAGAGTGGTGCGGTACGAGGTGATGAGTGATCTAGGATTGTTGAAAACGTAGATACAGACATTTCTGGTGAGGATTTATCCGTGACGTATGGTACTAAATGTATGGGTAACTGGCTGTCGGACATTGGTATTAATGATGTTGGGTCCGAGGATGAAGATGAAGGCGCGCTCTTGTATGAAGTGTAATCAGATTCAACCTCATGACTTCTGGGATTCACAGTATCAGTGGGGAGATCTAGAGGTGGGTCAAAATCAATGTTTGCATTCGTTTCGGCGGATGGTGAAAGCTCAATGTATGCATTTTGAATGGTGCTTATAGGTTGGATCGATTGAGGAGTTAGGCGTGGGAACTCCTCAGAGTTGGAAGATAACAATGGCGATGGAGGGGTGTTAGTGTGTCGGGTTGTTTCAATTTGTACAGGATCCGATATAAGCTGAGTTGATATAGAAGATTTTTCACAGTTGCGATGGTCCACATAGTTCCAACCCAGATGTTGTAACCGCTTCCGGATACTCTCTTCGGTTCGGTGCTGAAACACGTTTCGTAGTGCATGCATGAGAGCGTCTCTTGAAGATGATGTTGAAACCAAGCGTGAGGCCATAGAAAGAAGCAAGCGATCATCCGTTGCGGTCCAGTTATACCCATGCTTAGGGAGACGCGCGAGGCAGTCGGCGTTGTATTCTACAGGATGCCGATGTCCTACGATGTTGTGACAGTCCTCTCTGTGTAGGGAAGATTTGCCGACAGGTTAGACACTTAAATTGGGACATATTTACAACGGAGGCTGAAACCAGGAATCCTGTTGGATTTCTAAGTTGGGCTGCACGATGTCTTTGGAGTCCGCTGGTAGTTCGAAAATTGTCTAACTGAGAAAAAAAGAACGACAGAGGGTGGGCCCCAAGTAAGCCAATGACGTGAGCTATGTTGAAAGCTGGTGCTGACTGGAAAAAGGCTTTGTTCGGCACATAGGTGCAGCAAGCGTTCACCATTGCCGGTGCGCCGCCAGTCCAGAACGCACCGCCCACCTAACCGCAATTCCGATTCATCCAAGTAAACTACCTGGGCATTCATGTCCCACGCTAAAGTAACTATATCAGAGCGGTTGACTGTGCTCAGCAACGCCGTTAAGCCCCCGTAGAGCCTATGTTTATCAGTGGCGTCACTGACATCCGTTGGGGCATAGGCAGAAACAACAAACAGACTACGTCTTGTTTTGCGTCTCACACCACATCCAATTTAGCTAGGTAGAAGGGCGGCACATAGCCTACTATTGACCGGGTTCCAGTCCATTAAAGCAGGCATCGCTGCAGAACTCAGAGCTACACACACACACCAACCAGATTACCAGCAGCAGCTACAGTATCCCTTGATGTATAAAGAAACTAGTGAGTGGCAAGGAAGAGTGCAGTCAATTCAGTGTGAACGGTACTATCCTGTAATCTTGTTCATTGCAGATGTTACTGTCGCATTGCACTGATAACATACTGGCTAACAACGGAACAGCGGTGTTATCGCATCCGGCATGGCGAAGCGCACAATGTTCAGCTCAGGAAATGACCGATTTCTGTTTGTCCCTTCACAATTTGTTCACATGCAAACTGTCCAAGCCTATTTTGCTTCGGTCATGGGAAACCTGCAAACGGTTACGCAGAAATGACTGATGACAACAGATCACACCTTTTCCCTAATGAACTTGCCCGCGAAAAGTACGCGTGCCAAATTTCCGTAACCATGCTGTTGTTATAAATAGACATGAGTCATCTCGCGCGGAAGATTCAACAAAATGGTCAAAGATAAAACGTAAATCACGTGTTAACTACCACCAACTTCAGCAGCAGACAGGTTAAAATCATTGGTGTGAAACAAGAAGGTTCATTTCTTCGTCCATAAATCGCCCCGAGACCTGTATTGCCGTTCCCTTGAAAATACCATGTAATGTCGGCGCCATTGGCCTTACGCCGAAAATCCCACTCTGTTACTAATGAACGGCTAACATTGGCAGTCGTCCTGGTACGCATACTTCATGCTCGGCCGTTGCCGCCAATGGTCAGAGCAATTCTACATTAGTAGGCGACAGTGTAATAAAAACAAAGAAAAGCCAGGTGGATTAATCAGAATTTGGTGGCCCTGAGAAGAGCCGTGGGGGTGTTCTCCAAAAATCTGTTACATTAGGTGCTCGAACACATGCCCATTTTCTTTTGGACATATGTGTACCCTCCGTTTGATGTTTTCCAGGACAGACAGCAGCACGACTGTCGGGATTGTGCGACATGCTTCCATTATGTTGCTCTTCAGCATGTCCAAGATCGCCGGTTTTGGCTCGTACTTCCTACGTCTGAGATGACCCCAAAGGAAGAAATCCATAGGCGTTAAATCCGGCGATCGCGGCGGCCAACGAACTGGTCCGTGTCTACCGATCCACTTGAATGGGAAAGTCTCGTCAAGCCACCGCGTCACTGTAGCTTCTGAGTGCGGTGGCGCACCGTCTTGCTGGAAGAACGTTTGACACAGTTTCCCAAGTGGAAGCTGTTCAATATGCGTGGTCAACACCTCCGTTATCACCCTCAAGTATTCCGCGCCTTTTAGCTTGTCAGGCAAGAACACCGGTCCAATAATTTGCGTTCCATGCAACGCACACCAGACGTTCCACTTTACATCTTCTTGTCGTCGGCATTCCACGAAGTATCGGGGGTTTTCACGGCACCACTGACGTCTGTGTTTATACGCCATCGGCTCATTCAGATAAAACGTCGACTCATCGGAAAAGATTATGTCCGCACACAGCGTTGGTTGTGTGACTTAGCCGGTCTCTGAACCAATCGCAGTACGCGAAACGATGCTCCGGGTCGTGCACAAAAAGGGTCTGCACTGTGCACTATCTGTATCTGCGATAACCCTCTCTCTTCAACATCGTGGAAACGGGACCCAC